TTTTTGCATAGTCTGTCGAGAACAAAACAACCCGGTTATCTACACACAAAATTGCAAACTTCACAACGCAATCGGTCCATTAAATATATTTTGCCAAGACATCGCACGTCAAAGTACGGCATTTTTCGTGCGAGGTGTAGTTCACTGGAATTCTTTACCCAATAGTCTAACCAATGTAAATTCGTTAACAGCATTTAAGGGGGTAGTACACTTTGAACGTCCAAAAAGTAAGGCATTTTCGTTAATTTTTTTTTAGCAATAAAACACTCAGGGAGGGCAAATATGTTATAACCCATTTATTAGTCATCCTTTGAACTACAATTTGTATTTTTTTGAACTCGATTGGCGTCTCCCCGTGGCCGGTGCACCAGGTCGCGCGGGCGTCCTTGCGCGGAAGTCGGAAAACGGCGTGGGAAAATACTCCTTTCCATGTGATCCTGCGACATAAATCGAACAAAAATCCTGATTAGTAATGAAATTTGGGTTAAAAATACGTATTCCGATTTTTTTTTTAATTATTTTTTTCAAAAGTTGTGGCCTTAGGAAAAAAAATGTCCATTTTTTCACCCTAAAAATGCTTACAAAATCGTAGATTAAAAATCCATTTTTGACAAAATCGAAAATGTGGATACGTATTTCTAAGCAGAATTTAATTCTGAACACGAAAACCTAGACGATACCTAAATTTGATGATAACTGGTTAGAGTTATTTCCCACGCCAGTTTGAAAAACCCCGTTTCGAGATAAACGCGTTTAAAGATAAAAATGCTCTCTTAGCGCGCTGGTACATGTTTTAGGAAATCGCTTCGTAAAACGGTAACGAATATTCTGGCGCGCTTGGAGTCTTTTCTAAATTAAAGTATACATCCCAAGAAACATTTTAAGCCAAAAAAAATGCATTTTTTTTTTTTGAAAAATCAAAGTGTACTCCCCCCTTAAGAGAGGATGGATTGAGCATTTTAGTTGAGTAGTAAATGTAGTTCAGTTTGTGTTACGTATCAATTTTTTTTTTTTTTTGTAATATACTTGTGGCGCTTGTTTTACTTTAATATAATCGATGTAACAGAAGAAAAACATAAGTCCTAAGCTACAAAATATAAGTCAATAAATAAATAAATAATTAACATGTTATAACTGCTCAGTCTGGCCAGTGCTTAACCAAGAAAATACTCTGGAGGATAGGAATTTGTTGCCCAAATGTTAGGGAAGATTTATCAAAAATTTTGGAGCAATAAGCCATAGAGAATCAAATTTGGGAACTTAAAAATATAGGCACGATCTACAGCTTGAGCTTGAGCTTGAGCTTGATTGACCGCCCACGGTTGCCACTCTGTTACTGCCAGATCAGCTGTAATTACACAGAGAACCAATAGACGATGCTTGGGACTAGCAATCATCCTCAATGTGTAAAAACTGGTGATCTTAAATTAGGCAATACCAGCGCCGGCCGCGCCCGAACACAGGTCAAGAAAGGAATGGGAAGAATTGTGTTGACATGACACTCGCTTTGATGGAAGCCGAGAACACCTCTGCACTTCCACGAGGAATCACTGGGATGTTGGATAAGAGGGTTGGATTTGCAGCAGGGTTCGTTTTGGTAAACGATAAGCTGAATTGATGTCCTAACGATCATATAACGCGAAGGAGCTTGGGACTAAACCCACGGTCTTCTGCTCAGTAAGCAAAAACGTTTGCCACTAGGCAGACGAGCACCTTTTTAATCACCGAGTTGCTGTTATTACCATGTAGTCATATTAACAAATAAAACGATTGACGAATCTTGAATGTGGATGGGCCTGAGATTAGACTCATGATGTTCTGCTCAGTAAGCAAAAACGGTTGCTCCAAGGCCACCGAGCCCCTCATATCACATAACACCGTTGCTCAAATTTTTGTATCCATTCAAACCCGGAACCAACGACAACAACGAGTTTCGCACAATACACGATACACAAGCGATTTTACCATAAATCGCTTTGATATGTTAGGACCTGGGACCGCGTTTTTCTGCTCAGTAAGCAGGCCACTGTAACCGACGATCTTTCAAATCCGAAAACTAAGAACTACGAAAAAGTACTTAGGCCTTCATTAAGTTCCACTTTCACGCGACGTTCAATGACAGGGTCCTATCCAGGATTACATCTGAAAAATCCAAATCTGGCCAACGCCCACCCTAAACCTAAACCTGTTCTAATCCACCTGAAATGACTATATAATAATACAATTACCTAGAAATAAAAAAGACATACCGGAATGAAAAATTCATTAAATGAGACGCCCCCCCCCCCCCCCCCCCCCGGGTGTATTTTAGAGCATTACGTAATTAATGGACACCGCCCAACAATGTTAACCAAAGATCACAGCTCCAGTGCAGAAAACAGTTCCGTACCCAATAGGTCAAAAGTGCACAGTATGAGGAACGGGTGGTGGCAATGGATCACTAGGTTCCGGTTAATATTCCCAGATATATTTGGACGGGAATTTGATTCACAATATTCTCGCACAGAAATTCCATCAGCCGGTGGGTGTCTTCCTTCACCATTAGCTCTTTCTTCTCCAGATCCTTGACCAGCAGCAGCAACTAATAAAACTTGGACCGATTGGAAAAATGACCTGAATTCCTTCTCCACCTGCTTGTCGTAACTTCCATGCTACAACACACAGACACCTGGGCTCTTATCCGTCGAATTCGATCGGTTTAAGTCCGGGAAATGGATGTTCGTTACCGTCTTCTCCGTGATGCACTTGATGTTGTCCCGCGAACGATTTTAGACGAGTGGTCCGTCAGCTTTTTTAAGTTTTCCGATTTTTAACCGGCATAGTCAGCTGACATACATGGTGTTTGTTTTGGAGATTGTTGAAAAATGACAGTGAGTATGGCAGAGTGCTTCACGGTCGACCTGAAAACTTCGAGAAACTGCCCTTAAAAATATAGGCACGATCTACAAATTAGATAAAGGGGAAATGGATGTAATGTCGGCCTAAATGCCCCTAATTTGGACCCAATCGACTAAATTTTCAATAGCGACCCAAAATATCCATTAGTACCGTCCCGATGACGTGTTCATCTAGATAAAATTGATAAATAGTAGATTTTTAGCGATGGGCTCAATCTTAAATCCATAGGTCAACATTAGAGCCATTTCCACCAATATTGTTCATGGTTTGGACACTTTTTTTTTAAATTTGAGCCATAAGCCTTGGAAAACTGCTCCATTACTGCGTAGCTACTCAGGTTTACTGTTCTGCTCGTATTTTTTGTCAGAAGAGAGGAGTGATGGGCGATCATCTAGAATCAGCACCTAAAAGGAAGCTTCTTAAGAGGATTATGTTAGAAACTTTTTTTGTGATGAAAACTTCGAAAACTGGATGAGACAGTGGCTCCATTAGGCCCTTTCGCTATAGTTCTACCAGAATTTGTATAATAGTCCTGCTGACGACATTCTGCGTGTTGATGATAATGGCTACGAGTCAAGGGCACAAGACACACAACGTCAGATATGACAAATATTAACCTAAACTATCTTATAATTCATAACCATTAAATGCGTGCTAAATATTCGGAAAATTCCAGTAATTAGCAATACCAATAATTATCGTTTGCGATGAATCAGTACCAGAAAATCATCGCGTTAATTAAAATGAATTTGAATTAGCTCGTGCCAGTACCGAGCGACTTTATCCCAGTCTACCATCATCATATGTCCGGGTCTTGGACACTGGTCTTGCAGAGCCGTTCTAGTTTGCAACAAGAATCTAAATTTCAAGCATCCACCCTCGTACGTCCTTGTTTTGTTACCATGCATAACATTGACGGTAAGTGGTTGCTATGAAGTATAAAACACCTCATTCGAGCGAACCAAACAAGCTGAAAATAGGACACAGTGTCGTCAACAGCCCTCGTACCCCAACATCTTACAACTTACAATGACGCCGAAAACCAATAAAATAACGCAACCACCAAACACGTGCCAATTTGCAAATTTCCCGCATCGGCCCCACACATCACAATGCCCAATCTTCCAGTCCTAAGCCGTGCATTGTCAATTCGACTCACATTTCAACGCACCATAAAAATGTTTGCTACATAGGTAGCTGAATGAGAATGCCCGTCGCCGGCCGCAATTCTATTATTGCTCGCCACTTTTCTCGCCATTAATCTCGACGCCAAACGGTTCAGGTGGGTACGGTGAAATATGTGCTGCTGGGGAGGAAAAAGCACCTATTCCACGTTAATTACCGACGACAGTCACCTTCCTCCATTTTCGCGCGCAATTACACGCTATGAATTATTTATCCCGTGATTCTACCCAAATCCAAATCCAAAATTGTTATCTACGCCTCCAGCTTTTGATTGATCGCTCGCTGACGCTGACTGTTGACTCCTGCGGGATTGACGTCTGCAGAAAATGGGCCGCGCGAATCACATCTCCATCTACGCCGCGCATCTCCAGCTTAATACATACCAGAGAAGCAAGACTCAATTAGCACAACAAGCCGATCTTCTCGTGGGATGCCACCACCGCTCACCGAGCAGCCGGTGCGGTGGCGATGGACAAATAAATAATCCCTCCGGACGACGGAATCGTGATTTCACGAAGAAGAAAAAATCGAGACTATAAATACTCTTGTTTATGATTTCGGAATCTTCGGCGGGTAGCTACATGTGCATCTGTGTATTTTCCAACTGCGCCCGGCTGTTCGGCTCTGAATTGGGATGTGCCAGCTCGGTGATTGATGCGATTGTAGAATTAACGCTAACTGGATCGGATCACTAATAACTGGGTGGTAATAAGTGTCAACTATGGCAAATTTGTTATCAAAATACGCTAAATGTAGAACCACACCTCAAAGCACTTATGAGAGGAGTAAATGGCGTCATGGAAAATTTTGCACGCTCTATTTGAAAACAAGACATGTGATAACGAGCATTGCCAATACAACGTGCCGTTTTCTTGAAACATCTCATTTGTTGAAACCATTTCCCATTTTCGTTTCAGACTCCAATCGCAACATGGACGTTGACAGTGTCGTCTACAGCAACTGTAAGAACCCCTCGAAATACGAACCGTACCGATGCAACCTTAGCGATAAGCTGCGAAAAATCGCCAAAACAGAACTTCGAGAAAATGACAGCATCCGCGAGCAGTCTCTGGCCCAGATGCGGGAATGGATCGCCAAGAATCCAAACATCAAAAAATGTCGCACAGATCCGCTGTTTCTGCTGCGATTTCTCCGTACCAAAAAATACTCCATCACACAATCGTGTGAAATGCTGGAGAAGTACCTCTCCATCCGGCAGACCTATCCCAAGTGGTTCCGCAGCTGTGATATCGAAGATCCGGAACTGGAGGCCCTCATCGACGGGGGATACATCCTACCGATTCCACAGCGGGATGCAAATGGACAGCAGCTAATCCTCTCGATAGCCGCCAATCTAGAATTGAATCGAGTGAACTCGGCCCTGCTAGCCCGGGCGCACTTCCTGGTGCAAGAAGTCCTGGCTGACGATGAGGAGGCACAGATCTGTGGCTATGTCCAGTGTGTCGACGAGCGTCAGCTATCGATGAAGCTGATGGGCCTGTGGTCCCTGGTCGACATCAAGAAGGTGGCCGAAAGTATACAGGATGGCATTCCCACCAGAATCCGGTCGTTCAACTTCGTCGGGCTACCGTCGTCGGCGGTGACGTTACTGGAGTTCTGCATGTCGTTGCTGAGTGACAAGCTGAAGAAGCGAATCAATGTAAGTGTCGATGAATGGAATGGACATGACATGATTATTATGACAATGCCTAAAAAATCTATAAATTCTCAATTTTCTTTGAACGGCGCCGGTGGTGTAGTGGTAAGCGTGATTACCTCTCACCCCAGCAGGCCTGGGTTCAATCCCAGTCGGCGCCGCCGGGATGTTCTGAGGCATAACATCTCTGAATACGCCTTCCTTCGGATGGGAAGTAAAGCCGTTGGTCCCCGGTTCATGAGTTGATGGGTCGATAGGTAGGGTCCAGGTGTGGGAGCTGCCTTCCTGGCACGTCGGTAGCATTGGTGCTCAGCACGGAAAACAAGATCGACGGAAAAAACAAACCAAGGAAAAAAAAAATTCTTTGCTTTCTTTGAGGAAAATATATGTGTCTTGATCAGAGGTGGTAAATGTCATCAAAATATTATGGGGAAAAATGTGGTGAGATTAGTTTTCCCCATACAATTTAGTGGTGACATCTCTGCAGTCAAAATTTACATTTCCCACCTCTGATCTTGAAGCATATGGTTTCAATCAACGATCATAATACAGCATAAGATGCCAAACATGTATTCCGCATTTTGCACCACTTTAGAATCTTGTGCAAAAAATAATGGCAGAGTAATATTTTCGCACAGGTCATGAAATTGCAAAACCGACTAATTTGACAGCAGTAACAGCTTTAGAACAGCACTGGCAAGCTACACTACTGAACTGGAGGTCTAGAAAATATTAAGAAGGTCAATATTTAAATTTAATTGCCAGTGCGGAAATAGTACTGTGTACTTATTATGAGCGCAAGGGTCTAATGAGGTGCGCAATCAACAATGAATAACATGAAATATTGCTGACACATGGCCAAAATAGTTGCCTTTCCTCTATGCAAATATCAAGGCATACTGTTGGCAAACAAATTTTAACGCTATGTTTGCTTATAATTTTATTACAATTTTATGTAGTATTTGTTAAGCGTGATATTGTTTATTTTGTGTGCGACAGTTGTCACCTATTGAAAAATACAGTTATTTTTCGAAGAGCGCTCCTAATAGAAACCTAATTGACTTAACCTTAGATATCATATACGATATGCATAAAGGACGTTATGCATGCGGTTAATAATGATTTACATATACAATATATACAATATGCAACTTTAAACATAGATCTGGAAATTCAGCTTACATTGCATACTGGTCTCGGATAGAAATTTAGTAAGACGGAGTCCTGGGGCTTTTGTCTTAAGTTTTAGAGGTTTAGTGTCTTCTGTAAACTTTTCAGCTTAAAAAGTTTCTTCTCATTTTTTTTTAATTAGGGTGGTTCTCAAATTATTGATGTAGATAATCTAACTTTTTTCTTGTTTAAAATAAAGTCGCATGTTTTTCAGCAAAGTTGTAGCTGAGATGATATCAAGCTACTTGCTTTAGGAACATTTTTTTTCTATCTCATAAAGTTGCTCTAAAATTTTAAATACAGCCAAAGTCAATTGAGAAAAAAATGCTCTTAAATTAGAAGAAAAAAGTTTTTTTCAGTAAAGTTGCTTGAAACCATCTCAGCTACAATTTTGCTGAAGAACATGTGTCTTTATTTTCAAAAAAAAAATGTTATACCATTTGAGGGCCACTTTAACTATAAAAAAAATACCATAAGAAGAATCTTTTTAAGAAAAAAAAAAGTTCACAAAATACACAAATCCTCTAAAACTTAAGACAAAAGCACTAAGACTTTTGTCTTACTAAATTTCCATCTTGTACTTTCGTGAACGGGTTGTATCTCGTAAATTATAAGAAAAAGTGCTCCAAAATTAAATCGGTGCGAGATAGATTTTCTTTTTGTTCAGCAAAGTACTTTTAAATATTTAAGCAACAACTTTTCTGAAAAACATGCGATTTTATTGTCCAAAATAAAAAAGTTTGTTTTCCTATAACAATCATTTGAGGACCACCCTCATTTTAAAAAACGACAAAAGAAGGAGGTTGTTATGCTGAAAAAGATTACAAAAGACACTACAACTCTCAAACTTAAGATAAATGCACTAAGACTTTTGACTTGCTAAATTTTCATCCTAGACCACTGTGCACTGTAATTATTAATTAGGCTGATGCATATTTTAATTTAAATAATCCCCCCTTCCTAAATTACAAAATATTGTAAGGGTAAAAAAAATCAACCCTATTCAAAATCGTCACTCGCTCTGCGTTAATTTTTATGGTACGCCTTGTTATTTATTTTTGGGATTTTCCACAAACTAAGTAGACAATCATTGTTTTTTCCCTGATTTTTTTTTCCGTCGATCTTGTTTTCCATGCTGAGCACCAATGCTACCGACGCCAGGGAGGCAGCTCCCAGATCTAGACTTTACCTATCGACACATCAACTCATGAACCGGGGTCCAACGGCTTAACTTTCCTTGAACAGAGTAATCAGCGGCTGAACAGAGTGAACAGTCGTTTAATTATATTTAAAAGGATGGTCCATGGATAGCCTGAATTTAGAAATTTTCTCAGAGCTTCAACAATTATTATTAGTTCAAGAAGTAAAATGCTCCTCAAAGCAAAGAGTCAAACAATTTTAGAAATCATTATTTTGAAAATTTTTGAAAATTCTGACATTGACGAAAGTTATCTCAAAGCGTATATGAAGCTGGCAGCACCCTCCGGTGAAACATCCTCGGTGTAAAGACCTAGCGTACTTAAGAAGTATTACATACTTGTATTTCTAGGAAAACATCTAGACTACCATTTGAAAAGGGCTGAACTTGATTTCAACTTTTAATTCCAAAAATGTTTAACTCAATTTGTGTAAGACTGGAAGTGGACACACTACACCCGCATTTTGCGCAAAAAAAAAAATCTCAGTGTGCCTCAAGTGTGCCGGCAGCGCCGACAGCTCGGCCAACAGTACCAGTCGTCGAGCTACCATTGTTTGTTTGTGAATAATTACATGCTTGGCAATACGGTATTTTGACAGCTTGAATGTTTTGTTTTGCTCGCTGAAATCGAGAATAATACGCGAAGCGAAACACGATTTGATCTTAAACAGCGGGATGAATTTTCCTAGATTTGCAAAACGTTGCAAATTTCTATGCTGTACGTTGGAAAGGTCGGTGCAGTAGCAGTAGGGAAGCAATCAGGTGAACAATAACAGCTCAGAATCACGACGAGCAGCTTCAGTTGGAAAGTAATTCTGGCTGCTCCAATGTTTTGGTTTGGCCATTGACCTTCTGGAAATTATTCCAAAATCAGTTGTTCGTAATGTACGGAACGGATAGAGCTCAAATGAGGAAATGTGGACGGTTCTGGGCTACGATTTTGATTACGGAACGGGAGGGTGTCAAGAATCCGGAAGGGATAAGATAGTTGCCGAGGATTAGGTCGAGTAGATTTCTAGAAAGATTTTTTTTTTTCAAACCGCAACCAGTGCTGTTTGGAATGTTTCTATCGTTGTTACACGTGCGATTTAGATAATGTTCAACACATTAGCGATTGTCCTGGTTTTGGTATGCGTGGTGATCCGAATGTGTCAACGCAAAGTCTCGCGCGGAATGATGTACGGCTTCGGAGAAGGTAAGGTAAAGTTTACAGCTCCAAAAAAAAAATAATTACGTTTTGATTTTTCTATAAAATATTGGAAAAAGATATCAAAAATCTAAATAAATCTCATTGTTTTCTAATTTTTCAAAGAAAGTTCACATGCAAAAAAAGTCATCATGGCATAAAGTTGGACTCATAAAAAAACACAAAACCTCGACTTTTCAGTTTTGCTGAAGGTCCAATTTATATTTAGATGTAAATTTTCCCAGGAATCTAAGGAAAAAATTTATTTTGTTGGATTTTTGATCATTTTAGATATGTTAGATGATATGTTTAGAAAAATAATAACGTGCTGAAAAATAAATTTTTTTCTCGGGGTGGTAAACTTCCCCTTAGACCACCCGCACAGGTGCGTTGCTATTCAGGCAGCTAGTTTGACAACTTTAGCCGTTGCTATTTTAGTTAGCAACCAGGTTTCGCACCGGTCGTTGCTAGCACGATTGTTAATTTATGTTTTTAACTTTCGCACCGGTAGTTGCTAAATCTATCGTCGAACTTCGAGCTAAAACTGATCGCAGAGCTTTGCGATTATAGTGATTATGATATCCAGAACATCCGTAAAAGTGGTTAATTCGTAAAAATTATTCAAAATCTTCGCGATTTTTTTTAAATCACTTGTTGTGAATGAATTTGGATTTGGTTGATGGGTCGATAGATAGGGTCCAAGTGTGGGAGCTGCCTCCCTGGTGTCGGTAGCATTGGTGCTCAGCCCGGAAAACAAGATCGACGGAAAAAAAAATCAAAGGAAAAAAGAGACTAGCATGTGCACTCTGCTGGCCACGGAACGGTCGGCCGGAAGATCTGGAATATCCTTAAAATTGGTCAATTCGTTAAAAAGATTCAAAGCTCCACTGTTTTTTTAATGCACTCGTGATGCGCATTTTGCTGGCCTCCGGAATATTAAGAATATCCGTAATAGTGGTAAATTCGTAACAAATGATGCTCAGAGCTCGGCAAATTTTTAGTAATTTTTTGTGATGATGCTACATTAATGAATTTTAAATGATTTCATATTTTTTTTTCAATCAGATTTACTTCCATATCGATTGTTAAATCAAGATTTAAAGCTTAATAACCACTTCACTGTTTGTCACAAAACTAACAAATTGACGTCCCATAGCCACCAGTGCACATCCTGATCTCAAATCCAAATTCATCCATGCAGCATCACAACAAATTGTTTCAAAAAATCGCGGACCTCTAGATTCTTTTTTACAACTTGACTACTTTTATCGCTTCACTGTCCCTGGGCCCAGATTATACCCCGTTTACATTACAGCGTATATCACGTGATATACGCTGTCTTGCAAGGAGCACTCATACATCTAGTTTTCACTGGAAATCCTACGTATGAGTGCTCATTGCAAGACAGCCTATATTACGTGATATAGGCTATAATGTGAACGGGGTATTAAACTCATTCATATATCATCATTGCAAGTGATTTTTTAACAATTTTCAAATGTAAAACAAAAATGACATTTCACAAATAGCAACACTTGGGTCGGTCGCTATCGCGTTACCAAATTTGAAAATCCGCTGTTCACCGAGAGACAGATTGTTATTTTCCGCACTTGAATAGCAACCCCCGGTTGCTGCGTTATGGTGGGCGTTGCTAAAATAGCTTTAGCAACGCATTGGTTGCATCACGGAAAAAAACCGTTGTAGAAAAATACCCATTGGGTATTTTCTCTTAAAAATTTGGGTAGAAGTAGTTTAGAGTGTATTGTTTACACTGTATTTTTATCGCTGTCAGTTTGTAAAAATGGCGTCACCCGAAAAGCAACGTCTGCGAATTGATTTTGCGCAAGCACCTGGAAAATCCTCAACTCTCTCATCGGGACAACGGAAAACAACTCAAAATCGTGCAGTCAACGGTGAGTCGTGTGATTAAACGTTACTACGAAACTCTGAGAATCGAACGGAAGGAGAAATGCGGTCAGAATGGATATTCTATTAGTGATCAGAATCACAAGCGTGTCGTGAAAGCGTTTAAGCGGAATCCCAATGCTTCGGTCAGGGATGTGGCCAAAAAGTCTTTTGTTCAGAGAGCCAAGGATCGGGAGGTACTGCATACGTACAAAGTGCAGAAGTCTCCAAATCTGTACACCCAGATGCTGACGAAGCCTCATTGTCTCATCATGGATGATGAGACTTACGTCAAGGCGGACTTCCTGCAGCTTCCGGGGCTACTGTTATTCACCGCCCAGCACAAGTTTGATGTTCCGGAGGAAGTAAGGAAGCAGAAACTTTCAAAGTTTGCCAAGAAATACATGATTTGGCAAGCGATCTGCTCATGTGGCAAACGGAGTGTGCCATTAGTGACTACCGGGACTGTAAACGGGGAGATCTACCTTAAGGAGTGTCTACAGAAACGTCTGCTTCCTCTGTTGAAGGAGCACGAGGGTCCTACGATCTTCTGGCCTGATCTAGCTTCGTGCCATTATTCAAATGTTGTCCTGGAGTGGTACGAAGACAACGGGCTACTTTCGTACCCAAGGACATGAACGCCTCAACGGACCGGAACTAAAACCCATCGAAAAATACTGGGCTTTTATGAAGCAGGCACTACGGAAGCATCCCAAGGAGGTCAAATCTGAGGAAGACATGAAGAAAAAGTGGGTTTCCGTACAGAATAAGCTGCAGCCAGATGTTGCACAGAACCTAATGAGTGGAGTTAAGCGTAAGGTGTGAGCGTACTAATGGGTTATATTTTATAGTCTGAAAGTTCGGTCAACTAGGTAATTTTCTACAGCGTTTTTTTTCCGTGATGCAATTTGATGTGAGACCCTTTAAGCGTTTAAAATGGCCATATCAACCTTATCATTACTTCATTACGATGGCTACCAAGCCTTTGGAAATTTTCATTATTAGAAATTTGTATCGATTTTTCTCCTTTAGTTTACTTAAATCTTTGGTTTTTTAGTTAGGTTGGTTCCTATTCTACACATTGTATTTTCTTTTTTATACCTGTGATCTTGATATTTTTACCTAGGGGATGAGTAGGGTTAACTACCCCATTTCCGGCCTATTAAGCACAACCCGCACTTAGTTTTTCTTAGTCTAGCGCAGCTAAGCACCAAACAGAATGTTATTATCACTGATGGCTTTCAAATGTATTTACCTTTCCGTACGTATCGTAAGATTTGATAAAGAGAAATCAATCGTTAAGATATTGTCAAAAGTCTAACACTGCTTCTTGACGCCAAACTCGGCCTACGGATTCTAAACTCGGCCTAACGCATTGCAACGCCATTGAAACGCTAATGAATTCACTTCGGCCTATCGGATGAAGATAAAAATTGATTCGATCGGCGTGCTTCTTTTGTTTGTGGGAATAATGGGTGCAAGCCTTCATATCACGCGTTGTCATTGACTTCGTTTGGTAGCTTATTAACTAAAGTATCGTACCAAACCCATAATTGACTTGTTAACTCTGAAATCATGGATTTATTTGAAGTTGTCTGCTCGAGTAATAATAAAATTATGCAAAGTTGCTTAACAAGCCACAATTTTCACGCCTGGAATCTGAAGGGCTTCTGCCAACTCCATGAAATAAGTCTGCCATTATTATTATTTTAGGTGTAGACATAAAACAGTTGTTGTTAGAAAATCCATTTTTTTTTCTATCAAAGTGCCCATCTTGCAATATATGGATGACTTGTAGATAATTAAGTGATATTTCCAGATTATTTATTAAAAATTTTTAAAATTTATTATTTGAGGAAAATAAAACATTTTTTGGTGTAGATATGAGTTTTTTTTATCAAATTTTAGACAATTTTATTCAATTCACTTTTGGATCGAAATTGTGAAAATTTTATAATTAATTAGACATATATAAATTTGATAAAAAGTTCAGCCTTTTCAAATGGTAGTTAGTCTAGACCAGTTCCAGGCCAAATAGGATAAAAAATAAATAACGCAAACATAATTATCAGTCATGCTCTGAAAACCCACCAGTTGTATCAGTCGATAGATCGTACTAAATAAGTACGATAGATAAATGAACATCAGTATTACTATTTTAAACATGCAATACAAGCACGACGACCAGTAGCAATCACCTACTTGCAGCTAACAACGATGCAATACGTTAATGAGGAAATTGAGTCAATGGTTGAATATCATTATCATTTCAATTCTTGAAGATAGCAATCTATTTACATGATTTCATAAGGTTTCCTATGATCAGAAGCTGGTGATTGATCATTTCAGAGTGGGTGAGATGAATGAAAAAGTGATCCAAATTATCATTCCAATCAGCTGCTAGCTCGGACCACAAATCGATTGAGCTGTCATTGTTCGAGATGATTTCCCGCTATGATCATGTTTACATGAAAGTCGGCACTCTTCCTACATGCAGTTACAATTGAATCAATTATTTCATAGCACCAATTTAAATGAACATATTCCCCCTCTCTTTTTTTGCAGCTCTTCCGCACCGTGAACGACTTCGCCTCCAAGGTGGACAAGAGTATCCTCCCGAACGAGTACGGTGGTACTGCCGGTCCCCTGGCCGATATGATTGCCCAGTTCAAGGAACGCTGCCGAGCCAAACGGGCCCAACTGCTCGCCATGGACGAGATGCACATCGAAATCACCAAATCTTCCTCCTTCTATGCTGATACGTGCCGCGGCGATTTAGACAGTGGCATGATTGGTAGTTTCCGGAAGCTTGAGGTCGATTAGGCCCATGGACATACGCAACGTACACGTGATGGGGAAGAGGCTGATGGGGTTTTTCCTATAAGCAATTAATTTCGTTTGTGAACAATAAAAGTGATATTTTTTTCTGTAACCACGCGATTGTAGATATATTTTGCGAGGCGATGCACACGAAATAATGATTTTTTGTATACTAGCATGGATTAAGGTGACGCTCTATGGTAAGGAAACACGTTAGAAGTAAGCATAAGAAAATTAATAAAAATTATTACGCACCACCAGTTGGTTGGCTTTGATTACTATGCAATAGAGAAAATCGAGATAAATTTTCCAATGCCACACGCAATCACGTATGTATGTCATCGAATTGAATATCCGTTCGACAACCACGCTAGTTAACTGATCTACCCCAAACAAAGTAGTTTTCGCAAAAACTAGTTTTCATAATGAATGGGTCTAAATTGACGCCAAGTAATTGATGGAACAGCAGCTAATATGTGCCTAGCAGAGTGGAAAAATAAATAATTCCACCTTTCAAACTACACTCTTGACAACTCCTCCCCCTTTTAACCCTCCATTATTGCCAAAAGAGACAAGTTGGTGGTCTTGATCTCAAATCGACGGTCAAACGAGGAGACCACTGCCGGCGGATTGCTCTTTTAGAATGCACATTAGGGTGGTTCTAATCATCTACTTAGCTACACATGAACTATGTGCTCATTTGGTTGAAGTAGGTAATCGATTGGGCTGTGTGGAGCATAGCCGAACATTTGAACCACCCTAACCGCGGCATGGATCCTAACCAAAAAAAATCATGCAGCAAAGCACACACGCAAATGCTTACGAGCAAAGTTGAATACGGCAACACGAGCACATCAGGTGTGTTTCTTTGCATTAAGAATGCATCTGTGGTTTGTGATGCTGTGGTGGTCGATAGATCTATTACGTTATAATAGATTCGGTTTTTTGCCGTTGTTCAAGGTTTGATTTTAATATGCGTGTTTGTCCCAAAAAGTTGAAAACGAGCAGAAAAGCAGCTTCTTCTAACGACTTATACACCGGCGTCTCATTGTGACTGTTTGAAATTTGTCAAGAATATTATTAAACCATTATTAAAGCCTTCCTCATTCAGTGGCCTTAAACGGTACTAGATTTGAGTAGGGGCAACTTGAGCCGATGAATTGATGAATTTCAACAAATGATATTAAGTATCGCGTAGCCGTACCTAGTACCTTTTCTGCTGTTTTGCTAGCGCCCCCGGGCCTTGCCGACACTCGTGCGCACTTGAACGTTATGGTTACGCCAGCTCCGAAAACCGATATCTCGATAACTTTTTCAAAGGGACGTATCAGCTTTTGTAAACAACGCATTTGATAGTCGATTTGGCGTAACTGGTAGCTTGCCCACGCATGCTAATACTACCATCAGATAGGGGAAATTTTCCCCTACCTGTTAGTGGTGTTAGTAAGCGTGTACGAGCTACATATTACGCCAAATCGACGATCAAATGCATTGTTTGCAAAAGTTGATACGTCCCTTTGTAAAAGTTATCAAGATATGTTTTTGTCATCAGAGTGCACCAGAAAAAAATCACGTGTTTATTATGAATGTGAAATAATTCGGGCATTAATGAGTTAAAATATTACTAGCTCAAAAACAACCGCTTGAACAATATTCCACTTACAAATGTGCTATTAAAAATGTTCTACTTTTGTCTGATATAAAATTTGTTGCGCACATCAATTATAATGAATTTTATTTTATTTTAGTTGCTTTATAAATGCTCATTTGCTCCTGTGAAGACGAGTACTACTTCACGGAATAAACTTCACAGAAGTTAACAAAACTCCAGTAGAAATTTGGAGCTTGAGGGAAGTTACAGTTCAGAACAGAGAGGACTCGAGGGAGGCGTACCGATCGCTTGCGCATCTAGCTAGCTCCGGGTCTGGTGTGTGATACTTTAAGTAAATTTGTGGACTTTAAGTTGATCGGTTGTTTTTGTGAAACTATGATCGAACTTTATTAGGTACAAACCCTGTGGCGATACTTTGATCTAATACAATAAGAAATTTGCAAACGCTTTGTTCTTGAATTTCTGCTGTGCGAGACGAGAAAAAATGAATTAATAGATTAAATGTCTCTAATGTTGGCCTATGGATCTAAGATTGGGTCCATCGCTAAAAATCTGCTATTTATCAATTTTAACTAGACGAACGCGTCATTGGGACGATACTAATGGATATTTTTGTCACTATTTAAAATTTAGAAGATTGCTGAATTTATGTATGGGCCCAAATTTGGGGCATTTAGGCCGACATTACATCCATCTCCCCTATGGAAGAAAAGTTTACTCTGCCTAATTATCGCGCAGCTTTAGATTTGGTATTAGACAGTCTGTGATCGGAATACATATATTGATTTGGTGAGTATGTTCCACTTGAAATTTGAATTATATCATGATTTTCGTTTGCTTCCCGGCACGTTGTATTCGATTGGTTTGTAAGGTTGGATATGTGTGATGTCACGATCGCCATCAAACATGCAGATTTTGCACTCGGTCGATTTTCGGTACAATATGACTTTTTCTCGAATTCCTGCGCTTTGTCTTCATTCCTTTATTTAACGTCGGTCTCTGTTCCGCAATCTAGTGCCAATCACCGACGGACATCGATTGCCATCCATTGACGGCAATCGAATATGCAGGAAGGCAGCTTCCACACCTGTGTCGGATATCGCACCCATTCAACACACATGGACCGGGACCAGAGATTTTTATGTCTCAGAAAAATCCCACCGACCTCGACTCGGATTGAACCCAGACCCATTGGGGTGAGAAAGCAGTGACGCTTACCACTACAACACCGACGCCGGCTTCCCTGCGCTGTGGTCAGAGAGCAAATAGGGCATTTTTGTGCCAATTTGGTCGTGGCACATTTCGAGTATGAGAGAGTGATTGCAGTTAGATCAAAAGTGCCTGAGAAAAATGCAAGTACTTTCGCGGATTACCCGAAGTTACAATAGTGAAGATTTTTTTTAACTGGTTCGTTTATTTACCAGGCTCAATCAAATAGTGAAGATATGATAACGGACAAGCAGATATAACACTCTTAAAATGTTAATTGAAATCGCTTTTAACGGTAAATTTAAATCTCCCATACCAGTGTATACGGCAGATGGCGGTAGTGTATACAATGAGAAATGTTTAATGTGTTGTATCTGTTTGTCTGTGATATAATATAGAGGTAACGTTACACGCTCCTTCAAAGTTACTCAAAAGTGAGTAAAAATCTACTCTCTTTCAGTAAAACTGGAACTACTATAAAGTGAGTAAACCTATAGCTACTCACTTTTGAGTAATGCTAGCATTTGTCAAAATCAGAGTTACTTGTACTTAGTTCTGATTTGCGGTAAAAAAGCATATCTGAGTAAATGTTTCTCAGTTCTTGTTAAATTGAGCGTTTTTCAAAATGAGTAATTAACTCATTTTATAATGATAAAATATGAAAATTAAAGCTATAACAATTTTATCAAAAGATTAAAGAGAAGACGTACATTTATATTAAAAAAAAATCAATGTTTTCGGCGTCTTTGTGGCTTCTCTAAATGCAACGACGAGGCTGGTGACGGACGCTCTTCAGCTATGACTAAAAATGTTGCATGGCATTATTATGGCAATATGAGTGAGCACAGGGATCCCAATGCTCTTCGGAAAACGATGATGTTTCATCTGCATTTCTATGCTGTCCACTACGTCCGATGTAACATCACACATCAACATTTTCTACAAAATCCTATTGTTTTTCATCCGATTCCGGAGGATGGTTCTTAAAGATGTGTCGCTGTTTTGTACCGGGTGTGTAAACACCAACATTTGGAGTATTTACACGGCAAATCAGCACTACTGGTATTCAAATAATTTTGATGTGAGATTTTAGTTAAGCCACATATCCTGGAACATATCTTTGTTTTACGGGGGCAACCAAAACCTTGTTAAAGGATTTAATTAGGTGCCTTTATTTTCAAATGCTTCATTTTTCTTATCTTACGGAACGATTCCTAATCTACCTCTGCAGCCACTTGATTCATTCCTTTATTCTAAATTTTCAAAACTTCAAAGGGAAATCGGAAGTTGAATCACCGACAAGATTTTTCACTTTTGTCACAAGTATTTGACATAAGCATGGTAAGTAAAATTTGTGCATGATTACTCAGAAATGAGTAAACAATGTTTTTAGACAAACAGAGAAGTTACAAGTTGGCACATTAGAACAGTCAGAACAAGTAATTGCAGCTAAGTTTAGTGATTATTTTGTAGACAGTGTTTCATTGATTAATAAATCAATTTAATTGGTCGATGAACCTGACGAAATAAAACAGCCAGTTAATAGTAGTTGTAGATTTGAAGTTTTTCACCCAATTACATTAGATGAACTTAGAGTTTTTTTGTTTTTCATTAGGAAAATCGGCTGGAGTAGATAATGTTAATGCTAGAGTTATTCAAGATTGCTTTCATGTCATTGGCCACATCTTGCTGGACCTTATTAATGAATCATTGCAAACTGGACATGTGCCACCAATTTGGAAGGAATCCTTAGTGGTTCCTATTCAAAAAGTTGCTGGAACGATTAAAGCCGACGAGTTTTGTCCCATCAACATGTTGCACACATTAGAGAAAATCTTAGAACTTGTTGTTAAAGGCCAGCTGTTGGAGTATTTAAATAGTAATAGTTTGTTGATACCAGAACAATCGGGATATCGGGAAGGTCATTCTTGTGAAACCACGTTGAATTTGGTATTAGCGAAGTAGAAAAATAACATGGAGTGTAAAGATACGATTGTTGCTGTTTTTTTGGATCTTAAACGCGCTTTTGAAACAATTTCTAGGCCCTTATTGTTGAGATCAATCAAGCGCTTTGAAATTACGAGTACTGCATATAAATGGCTTGAAAGCTATTTGTCTGACAGAACTCAACGGACTGTTTTTAATGATTCTGTTTCCAGTCCCGTGGGGAATAACCTTGGAGTACCCCAGGGAAGTGTATTAGGGCCCCTGTTATTTATTATGTATATTGATGACTTGCGACGTGTTTTACAATTTTGCGGCATTAACCTTTTTGCAGATGATACTGTGTTATTCATTGCAGCTAAGGATTTAGATGATGCCGTTTTACACTTGAATGAAAATTTGCGTTCTCTAAGTAGATGGTTGAAGTATAAGCAGTTGAAATTGAATACAAGTAAAACTAAATTTATGGTAA